CTTTCTTCTCTTGCCCTGTTCTCCCCATCTCTAGTGAAAGATGCAGCAGAATTGATGATTGCCTATCAAACAGATGTAGGTTCAAGCATATATAGACAACACTGGCAGTGCGTGCAAGTCGGGTACGCTGGGGAAACAATCTTCATGCTTATACATATGTCCTAAATGACATAATGACTCTGACTTCTTTTCACTGTGGAGTGGATTCTTTCATCCCTGCAGATAGTGACCTGATTACGCACCCGTACGTGTGAATTACTTCGCACCCTTTCAGAGGGCAGTGTGTTTTGCATAAAGGCAAAAGGCTGTGTGTATTATGCAGTACAGTGCCAAAAGTCTGGGGGTGGACAGCACTGTATGGCCTGGAAATCTTGGGTCATTGTTGAACTTGTGGCAAAGAGTTAGGTGTCTCATTCAGGACTGATAGTGGACGCGGCGCTCGGCTTTGGGATGCTAAAAAAGGCACGTGCTAGGAAATGTCAGAGAGGGCTGCAGCTAAAACGTCTCTCCCCACCGCAGGCATACATGCCTATCTTGGGTGTCAGCCATTCCTCTGGTGAATGTTGGCTTCAGAATTTGAGCTGTGGTTGAGCAGAGGTGTAGGAGAGGAGGGGGAGGAACTCTAGCTTCTGAGATCTCGTGAGATTAAATCTGAAATTCACAGGATGTATTTGATCCTCAGGATGCAGCTACTTGATTTAGGGTACAATTAGTAGAATGAATTTTTAAGGTTTCATCTTTCAAGGCTTCTTGAAATGTGGAAAACAGTATTCTAAGGAATCTTTATACTTCTTGTATGCAAACCTAGTATAATTTTTACTCAGTAGTTAACATGGAGAGGTTTTTTCATTTAATAATTGTACATTTTAAAGGAACAAGTTTCTAGCTTTGGGTTTTGCTAAAAATAAAATCTACACACATGCATACATATGTACTGTCAACCAGGTGACATCTTCTAGTATCTTTTTCCTAGAGAAGTAGGATATGTGGAAAAGAGAAGTAGAAGTAAAATAATTCCACTTTGCTTTGGAAAGCAACCTTTTGTAATGTGTAATCCTATGTTACCACTTTCTTGAAAAAGCTTTCTTTTACCTAAAATAAACTTTCTGAAATAACTCTCACCATTTGGGAAGCTTTCAACACATTGTAGGACAGAGTTCTTTCTTTTTTCTCTTCCAATAATGCTTTGCACCATGCTGTGACTTGAACTTTATTTTCACATGTTGTGGGAGCATCTGAAATCCCTTGCCAATCCACCTTTCTCTCCAAACCCTTGAAACAAAATTAACAGAAAAAATGTGTATACATATAGGTATGCTAAAAATACATGTGTATAATAATCATTTTATAACAATGGTAGGTAGCAAAATAAGATAGGCTGCAAATGGAGCTTTCTAAGGTCATTTCCATGACAGATAGTAATAGCAAATGCTGATTTTACATCTGGTTTACAAATAACTGGTGAAAGTTCAGGTGGTGCCTGGGCGGACAAATGATATTTTATGGTATAAAATAATGCTTACGAAATGATAATTTATTTTTATTTTTATTTTTTAAATTGCAAACTGGGTAGAAACTCTTCTAGGGGAAAAAAATAATCAAATAAGAGGCAGTGTTTTGTACAGTAATGAGAAATGTTGGGCTAGCCAGCTGTTTAGAAATGGAAGTACGATGGTAGAATCCAGGCATAGCTCTTACCAGTGGTGTGGTGAGGATGCTTAATCCACAGTCTGTTTGAAAAAAAATCTGTTGGGTTTAATCTGATTTGGGACAAATACTAATGGATTTTTTTACTTTGTGCAGCTATATTGTTGTTGTTTACTGAAGTAGTTTATGTCTAAGTTTTCAAAATCCTGAAACCCAGGCAAGCAATGTTTGTGAATTCAGCAGTTCCTGTGAGTAATCCAAAATAAACTTGTTAAATGGAAATGTTGTTATGCCTTTCACTGATGGATTTTTTTTTTTCATGAAATTTAAGTTCATACTAACCCACATTATGTTCAAAGAGAAAAACTAATTAAGAGCCTGATCCTATAGTCCCGATTTCTTTGAACCGAGAATTGTATGATTGGGTCTTGATATAGTAACGGTTAATGTTATAGATTCTTGCATTCACCTTGAGCAATTATATGGTTTAAAGTTTAGGCAGCAAATTATTAGGTTTGGCAATGACTCAGTCGTCAAGATAACTTTTACACCAAATCGCTTGCAGATACCAAATGACAGGTTTTGTAATGAAAGGTTGCAATTATTTCTAATTTCTTCAATAGTAGTCACAAATCACTGATGCTGGTTCTGCCATTTGTACATGGCTTTCTAAAATAATATCCTCATGTGTCTGCCTTACCAGTCTTTTATTCTGTTCACGGAGTTGAATAAATCAGGTAAAGTTACATGTGTGCAGGAGGAATTTTCAGTTAAATTATTACTGAATGATCAGGGTGGGTGTTCTGGATTGGTTTTTTTCAGCACATTTGGTTTTTATTATTTATTTTCCCTTGCTTGTTGATTATGTTTATTATTCCATGCCCCTTCCCCCCACTAATGATTACAGAGAACTGCAAAATGAGTAATTAAGCATGGTACAGCATTACACTGATGTGACTGGTCTGCTTCTACTTCTGCAGGTAGCATGCTCGGCCCTGGCTCAGGGATCTTTGCATTCTGTGCTACTCAGTACAGCATAAATGCTTTCAGTCTGCCCAAGCTTCTGAAATTATTTGATCCACAGAGGCTTATTACATTGCCAAGCTCATAGAATCTCCTTATCACGATCAGTCTCACACAAGTAACACCGTGACTTATCCTTACGCTGTCCTAACCAATATTAATGTATTCTTTCCAAGTAAAACAGCTTCTAATTGCCTAAGCTGTGTGTGAGCTATCGTCCACATGGGTACCGCTGCTATTACAAGCACTTAATGGTTTTTTAATACCATAAGTATGAAAAAGCCATGTAAAAGAAACTTTGGTTTATTTTATGTCACGTTCCAATAGCTTGCTTCACCAGCACTGTCTGCAACAGTACCGACTGGGATTCTAATGCAGCTTTCAGATTGATGCTTTTCTTTATGGGGCATGTTTAACTGCATTTTGCCAAGAACAAAAGTGTACTGCCAGAGAAAGCACCTGAAATCACACAAACTGTGTGGAATTCGTTTCATTAAATACTTCTTTTATCTTAACAAAACTTTTTGATCAAGGCTGTGTTAGCAGTTTACACCTATTCAGATCAGTACGTGCAGGTGGCTGGCAATGCTATTCTGATTGTACGAGCACATGACAACCTAAAGCTACGATAGGATCTGGATTGAGATACTCACCTCAAATTCTTTCATATTGGGGTTCTTGCAGGAAGGAAGGAAGGAGCATAACTAATGACACTTGATAGAATATTGTAGAGTTAAAGCAGTATTTCATTTGGAGAACACACTCTGGGTGCTTTCATGCATGTTTTGAAGAGAATTTCCTCTTGTTGTCTGCCCACAGGTTTTGTCAGCCCCCAGGGGTAGAATGTTTGCATTGCATTTGTTTGCCCAGTACAGGTATTCTTCTAAATGAAAAATACAAGTGCAGATTGTTACAGAAATCTTCTTTTCTAAATACTTCTCTCTCATTCTGACAAGATGTTAACTTTTGGAAAATGGCTATCAACAGACAAATAAAAATTTCTTACCATTTTCCTTAAAAATTAATTACTGAAAAACTATGCCAATATTATCCTTGTATAAATTGCAGTAACTCTCTCGGGGTCAAACTGCCTTAACTTTCAAACAATTCTCAGATGAAGAATAATGGAAAATAAGCCAACATCAGTGGATGTTCAATGAAAAAGTTGACTGTCCTCAGTCAGTTTGGGTTTCTTTGTGCTCAATTTTTATATTTGCAAATCGGGTCATTAGAGATGGAGCATATTAAACTTGAAATAAATATTTTAATATTATTTGATTGAAATAACTTGAAAAAGCCTCTATTTAAAGCAGTGGGGTTTAGTTTATATATATACTAAATATTTTCCTCAGAAATCCAGTTTTTCTGTCAAGAGGGAAAAAAGTTTGATATTTTTAAATAAAAGGGTTGTAGAATATAGAAACCAAACATATACGTGGCATGTTATTTCTCTGGAATGCATTTTGTTCTCAAAGGTTTGGGATTCTTAGAGGGATAGAGGATACAAGAGGAAGGTCTGAGACATCCAATTTCTTCACCTCTGTGACTTTCTCTTCAAAGCAAGACATCCCTGCTTTACCAGTCAAACTTTGTATCTGCAGTGTGATGCTGCTAGGTCGGAAGAACATTGTCAGAAAATCTCTCTGTACCCTAAAAATGACACGGGTAGGCACTGACGATCAGATTAAAGCAGAACTTTTCTTAGATATAACAAAACCATCAACGTGTGCTAAACATGGTAGCGTAAGCAATCTTTTGGCCTTTTAGCACGATACAATGACTTTTAGGAATGCATTCCAAAACCTGGCCCTTCCTTATGGAAAAATAATCCCTTACACTGCCTGGGAAGGGAGAGGGCAGCAAAGCATTTTAACTGAATGTTTTGGGGAGGCAGCAGCCTTATTTTTATAGCATATTTTATTAGCTACAGACTTGCATTGGCAGTTTTACTCTATGGCATCTTGGTGCTATATAGCTAAAATGAGATATGAAATTAAATGCAAAATAGGTAGGAAGACTTGCAACTGCTTGCAGGTGGGATACATCTCCATGTATAATCGCACTGAGTCAGTATTACCAGGGCTTTGGCAAGCATTTCAGCTCCTTTGGTGGTGTGATTTTTATTTTTTATTTTTTTTCTTTTTCCCCATTGCCATGTGGTTTCTGCTCCTGTGGCAGGTGCACCCACCCTGATGAAGATGGGACTTCCTGGCTGTTGAGACATAGGAGCTGCTGATTCCTTTTTTGTGCACTTGTTCTCAGGTGTTCACAGCAATTGGCGCCCTCAGCCAATACGAGCTGATACTGACCACAGATCTGATTTGTTTCAGGGATAGATGGAGTCCCATGGGCAAACCATTTTCGAACCAGTCTTCTTTGGAGCAGCAAGGTGGCAGTCAAGGACTCTCCTTTTGGCTTGGGCTGTCACCCCAGAAAAACTTGAAGTTGGGAGCCCTCACTTTTAGGTGAGTGACTGTGCATTTTGGATTATCATTAAATCCTAGGAATTCCTTGAATTGATTGTGCAATAATAATTTTCCTCTCATAGACATTCAAACCTGTCATTTATTAATGATTGCTAGAGTGCCAACTGATTGCATTTAAATACTTAAAACAAAATTTATTTTTCATCCTGTTTATTTTGAGAGCTTCTGCAATAGCTCCCTAATTGCATTTACATGTACTGTGTTCTTGTATGACCTACCAGGCAGCATCTATTGATGGTCAGGATCGAGCATGTTTTTCATTGTAGTGCAAAGAGGATGATTTTACACTCAGGGTATTGTCTTATGAATAATACTTAAAGCTGACCAGAGCTTTGAGTCTGGAGTTATCTATATTAATTAATTTCATTTTGGGGCAACTAAATTATTTTTCATTTTTCCCTGCAGTTTCAAAGAGTTGTTTATAAAACAATTCTTCTTCTAAGCTGCAGTGAATATGAGCAGTGGGGGAAATGATATCTGTATGCTTTTGGAAGGGTATATAATAATCAATAGAGACAGAAGGCTCTTTATAAAAACAGAAGGTATTTGAAATCAACCTTTGAAATACTGCAGAATTTTTAATTACTCTTAATTTAATTCTCTTCTTTTAATTACTTGTCAAATGTTACCTCGATTTTTGTCAGATAGCCTTTCTGATACAGGTTTGGGTCAGGCAGAAATACAGAGGTGTCAGAACAGAATAAAGCAGGAAGCTGGCTATGTCTCTTCTCATCCTTTTCTTGTGTGTAGGTTTTATACACACGGATGAATACCTGTCACATGTCAGAACTGTAAATATTGCAGAATTTTCTCTCTTTGGTTTCAAATATATTATTTTGTTTGAGAAGTTCAATGATAAGAGGACTATGTCTTTCTAATGAGACTTCCCTTTAACACCTTTGCTCATCTCCAGAAACACTAGTCCTAAAGTAGCAGACTTTTTTTTTTTTTTTTTTAAATCCAGAGATATAACAGCTTCCTGAAAGGCATGCAGCCTGCAATTAACTTTTTTCCTTACTTTTATATTTTGTGGAAGAATCAAACTTTCTAACATACTCTTGACAGCCTCAGTCATTTGATGGGGCCCTTCAAGGTAAAAGGGTCATGAAACATCACAGAAGAGGGAGATGTCTTCAAAAACCCCAGACCTTAACCTTTGCTATAACTATACTTCTTTTACTTCCCAGGAAGAAACACTGTGCTTCAAAATGAAATATTTCTACCATATAGTAATAAACTACTGTCAAATAGGGAACAGATATAAAATTGCTTGTCAATTCTGTTCTTTTTTTAAAGTCTGCAACGGGAAAAATTATTAGTATAAGGTCCATAACAAAAATTATTTCGTTTATTTTTCTGTATCCTATTTTTTTGTCCAATCTCTTCTTCCCAAATCAATTTTATGAGATACTACTTGTGACTTCTGTCTAAGTAATACCCATATTACCAATAGAATTTTCAAAGGTAGACTTAATAGTACAATTATTAGGATCCACCGGATGCCAAATAAACTAATAGTAATGTGTTTGATTTCAAACATCCAACCTTGAAGTAGGTCTAATGTTTAACGTGTACCACCGGTAGGAATGAAATCTTGATCCCATTGCCATGAGTGGGGATTGGGTGAATTGCTCCCAATGCTCAGACTCTGAGCTAATCGTTATCAGCCATACTGTCTGCTTGCTTTTCAAGCATGCATGTGACATTTATAGAAGTTATTTTATAAAAAGGGAAATGATATAAAGAAAATCTCTGACAACTATAGCAGCTTACCTGAGTGTGTTAATGTAGGTATAAAGAACTATTGATAATTGTGTAAAATAATTTTACCCTTTAAATGGAAACTAAGGAGATGAGAAGTATACTAATCTATCATTAAAAGGAAGTGAAACTTCAGAAGAGTTTATGACAATTCCCCTAGCTCACTGTTGCCTTGTGTCACTTGTTACGAACATTAGTCAGGAAAGGCGTAAAGGTGGTGATAACAATAGTCAGGTATGTAGCAAGGTATAATAATTGAGAGAACTGTCTAATCTGATTGGAAAACTGGCAGATGCCATGAGGAACACCCAAAATGTTTATGGGCTAAGCAGTGCCAAAGACCTCGACAGTGAGGTGAATAGACTAGTGTGGACTGGACACAAGAGAGTCTGAAAGCAAGGTGGGTAAGCAGCGGTGTCCGAAATCATTATGACTGTCAAAGGGTATCCTTTATGTAGGAAAGATAGAAATTAAAGGAATAGGTGATTTTTCTGTGCTAATGAAGCCATAAAGTAATACAAAAGAACAGAATGGCTAAAATAAGGGGTTTGGAACTAAAATGCTTCAGTGTTGGTTGAACAATGATGTAATGGCCAAGTATCAGCAATGATCTATATAGTACCAGGCTGTTTTGGTTGTGAGTAAAGAACCTTGTTATGTGGTTTGACAGAGCACTGTTACAATTCTATTGTGGTGGAAAGGTTTAACGTTCCACATAGAAATGGGTGAAAAATTGAGAAATTAGTGGTAGGACCCAATTTTAATTCACTGTGAGAATGATGAGTTTCTTAATCAAGTTGTTAGAGAAGAAATAAAAGGTGATGCTATGCTATGGTAGGCAGTGAGTATATAATAAGAAGCTGTTCACAGAGAAAAACCTTGGCTTGGTTGATCCTTTGATTAGTTTCAAATTAAATAGAATTATATCTCATACTGTTTTTAAAGAAATGACTTAAAGTAAATACCTGTTCAGTGGAGTCACTTTGGACTGTAGAACTCAGGACCTGGAATTGCTCTCTACTTTTGATTTTAAAAAATGTTTGAAATTTGCATTTTAACCAGAAATAAACTTGTAAGGAAGGTTTTGAGGTCTAGTTCTGTGATGTTAAACTGGGTAACCATCTAAAAGATTATTAAGAGTAAAAATCCCACTAGAAATTAGGGAAGAAACTGATGACCAGAGGAGGAGTTCTGTCACGGGTAGGAAAACTGTCTGGTAAGTATGACATGACAAGTGCCAAAGTCAAGGTATGTTAGACTTGGGAAAGAAATTGAATGTAAATCAATGGTAAATACTTCCTTATCTATATTTTTAAAGAAAAGAAGGTGGTGAGAAAAAGTGGGACTTGCATTTAATGTAAACGAGGTGTAGACTGAGGAAAATCTAGTTTTGGCCAAACTAATTGGAGCTGGGTGGTAGTGGTGGGGTTGTCAAGGAAGCAGCACAGTTCTTAATGAGAATAGAAAGTATGAAAATATAATCTTAGTAAAGCCAAAATAAAATCAAAACTTGAAAGCATAATATATAAATTTGGCAGGGAGAAAGTAGGAGAGAAAAAAGCTTGAATAACTTAAAAAAAAAAAAAGGTGTGTGAAAATATGGCTCCTGTAGTTCCTTTTTATTTTTAAATGATCAGTAAAAATGTATAGGGTGCCAAAAACCAGAATAAGTTTTGTTTAAGAAGTGTATACATGGTGGTGAGGATGGTCCTAGGTAACTGTTCGTTGTTCTAGCTTTAATAGTATTCAGAACTTTAGAGAAGTTGAAAGAAGGTATTAAGATTAGACAAACAAAAAGTTCTAGAGATTGATTCAAATGGGATAACACATTGAATTTACGAAAGATAAATTACACTGCATCTCTCTGATAAATTAAATTCTTCATGTAAAGGATTTTGTTTGTTTAATCCTGATGTCAATAAACCATTCTGTATGGGCCATATGGGAAAAAACATGAAGGATAGGGTAGAGGGAAATAAGAGAAAAAAATGTAAGGTAGCTGAAGAATTCTCCAAAAATCTGTTCTAGAAGTAAAAAAAAATTGATGTGAAGTAGATTGAATGGAGGTTTTTTAAAGGCCACCTTTGAATCATTGTTATATAATAGCACTGGAATAAAAAGCAGGTACAGCATAATTAAATTATTGCAAAGCCCCAAATTATGAAGTCATTGTTATTAAGAAATGAACTTCATAAAGAATTTGGTGATTGAGGATAATGGAAAGGGGAAGGCGTTTAAGACTACAAAGGATGATGCTATGCTTTCAAAAAAACTAGTCATAAGGATTTCTTTTGCAAGATCTGAGCTAATCAATTGGAAATGACAACAAAAAGAAGAACTTGAATATATTAGCAGATTACAGGATGAGGGTGAGCTACCACCGTGATGTGGGTTGTTGAAAAAAGCAGTAGTTTGACACCCTTGGAGAAGTATTCCCAAAAGGGACAGCAAACTGCTAAGGTCATCTGTGTGACAGTGCTACATGTCATTTAAATTATTGCATGCTGGTTTTGCCACTGTCTCAGTAATATAGTTCCAATGGAAAGATGTGTGGGAAAAGGGTGCAAGGATTATCGATGGGCTGGAGAACCTCTCTGCTGAGAAAAGACTCAGATAACTTGGTTTGTTTAGCCTGGCAAAGTGAAGCTGTAAAAGAGCTTGCTTGCTCTTTACAAGTATGTTAAAGAAGCAAACACCAGACAAAACAGCTGCTTAAAGGAAGGGAAAATATTGGCACAAGGACAAATTGTGTGTCACCTGGTCGTAGCTGCATACATTTGGGCTGGAAATGAGATCTCTAAGGACTGGAGGAGGGAGGTGCCAAAGTGCTGTCTGACCATAGAAACGGGAGAGAGATGCCAAGGTACTGTTAAGATGAAGGATGATTAATTTATAAACCAGATTGTATGATGATGTGGCTTGTGATAGCAGGCAATTAATTTTGATTTAGGAGGTTCCTTCCTGCCCTGTGTTTGGGATTCATTAAATGATCTTCCCACCTGCCTCAGAGTGCATGTAGAACGTGATGGTATGGCACTGAGGGAGCACCAGTGATGTCATTTTCAACTGTGGCATAAAATCAGGGCATATACCACTTGAGATTGTTAAAGATCCTATGACTGTTTTCTTGACTTCTTTCTGACTGTTTATGGCCCTGCTAGTTTGCCATTTTTATTAACTACCTTCTGTCTCGTGCAATGCCAACACAGGTCAGAATT